TTCTGCATGATTCTTGCTAATGCAAAGTTAAATGTGCCATTAATATCTGTTGCTGGAAGGATTGGCATATTGCTAGTTTTACATGGTATGTTATATCTGTAGATATATCCTATTTCATCATCTTCAATAAAGTTGATTTCTGAATAATCCCTCTTGGTAACAATTTAAACATCTTATTGTGGCAAATATTCCAATCCTTACTTTGATTGACCCCAATCGATTTCATTCATCCCAAAGAATATTCTGGATTATCTGACCTTGTGCCGCAAGAAATAACATAGTTATGCTCTCACGGTGTTCCTATAGTGATGTCGGCCATAAAGTTTGAGTCTGTTAACTCCTTTCCAAAACCAGTACTTGAAACGCCTCCAATACTGCCAGATGTGGAAATGATCCCTGTTAATCAAACTGTGATACCTGAAAATTCCCGGAAGAAAGATAAATAAAAGATGCATATTACAGATGATAAACAAGTCAAACACCAATCAATAATGGCAAAACCTGATGCAAAAATATCAGCTAAAAATTTCCAAAAGGATAAGAAATCTTCTGAACATGAGGCCACTCAAATACTGACTGGATACGAAGCTGTTGGAGAGGAGTAAGAGCGAATTTGAGACATTATAATTTACAATATTCCGTATACCTGGGACCTGCAACAAAATTATAGCATAGTTAAAACTTTGGGGAATACTATCAGGTCTTCGGTTAAGCATCAACACAAGTATCAGACTCTTCAAGTTAAGATAGCTTTATCCTCCTTCTCCCTTCCCCAATTTAATAAATATTGGATGACTGACCTGGGAGGTATACCTGTGAGATAGTTCCCCGCAAGTTGGACTTCACGAGAAAGAAAATAACGTGAGAAGTTCCAAGCCATTATGCATGAAATTTTCAGAAGAATTGATAATAGTTACCTTGTGAGTCTTGTGGGTTGACTGTAAACCATGTGAATTTTTAATGCAGTGCGGTGCTAGCGCATTTAAAGTTATTCAAACAAGTAAAGGAAGGAGGAAACTGGTAGGTTACTTTAAGAATTGGGAGACCACACTCAAAGCCTTAAATGCAGCCCCAGTTACTTTGCCATCTGGTAAGGAGTTGAAATGGTGTTGACACTCCATTTCTAATCTGAAGAAAGCACAAAGGCTAAAAATGCCCTGATCAAGAAGTTATCTGGTAATACAGGTAAAGTTTCGATTTGTAATAAGCCTAAGAAGAAGGATAAAGTTCCGTCCTTGAAACCAAACAAACAGAATAATAACCAGTTGAAGGCTTCACACGTTCAGAAGAAGGCAAAGAATACCTTGAAGAGCAAGGACCATGACAAGGACAACTAAGTGGTTTTAGCAGAAATTTTGTCCCTGTTACGTAGATTAGTTTAATCTAATTAGTATTATTCTTTCTGTTAGAATTTTAGCATTTTAGGGCTTAGTTACTTACATTCTAAAATGTTCTTTTCCTCTTTTTCCCGTTTTTGCTATTCTCAATGGTTGGGTTGTAGAATAGTTATTTTTTACAAAAATTCTAGTAAGGGTCCGATTTATTAGGCAATGTTTCTATATTGTGTATTCAATTAGGTTACGTATTTTTATTAGTCTAAAAACTCATCAATGTACTCTCCTGGCCAGCCTTAAAATAAATAAATAAATAAAAGTTACACTGTTCATACATGTCAAAATGAAAAATTTTATTCATTGAATTTCTTTAATATTTGAATTACATGGTATTGTATTACTAAAAATACATATTAGTTTAATATTAACTAATTAAGAAAGTCATTAATGAAGGTGAATTATGAATAAACAAAAAAAAATTACTAGTCCATTAATCCATTAATCTTTGTTGTATGCATTCATATACCTTTACGATTTGCGTGCAAACTTACGAATGGCTGTTATAGAGACACCAACAAGAACTTCTGGAACTTTTCTCATTAAATCCGCAAAATTATAACTGCATATTCGTCTGGTCTCTCATTTTGCAAAGCCCCAGTATCATTCTATAAAATTGCACTCACAATGAAATTTTAGGTAACATTCAAAAATATGGTTCTTTTTGACCATTGTTCACAAAAATCTGGTTGCAGTGACATAATCCTTCATGCACAACATAGGGTATCCAGGATTTCATGGTACGATGACCCAAAAAGTATAGTGTGATTTAGACAAAAAGTGTGATTTGGTGTGATTTTAATTCTGGCCAGATTTAGTGTAATTTTGGCCGGAATTAATAATATTATAATAGCGCAAATTTTATTATTTTATTTATTTTATTTATTAACATAATACAGTAAATTTAATTATTCGCTATCTAATAAATCATAATTAACATTACCACCTAAATTAAAATAAAGAAAATTGAGCATCTGAATACTTTCTTCTTTAAGTGCAATCCTTTTATCTGATAAAATGCTTTTATAGCTAGAAAAACTACGTTCAACATCTACCCCAGACACTGGTAACCAAATATATACTAAAGCTAAAGCACTAAGTTCTGGTAATAAATGTGTTTTACCTCGCCAATATACATCTAAATCTATTAATTCCTCAACTGATTCATTAAGCCCACAATAAATAGCCCATTCTTGGATTAAATTATCAGTAGAAGAATGAAGAACTTCAATAATTCCATAATCTGTCATATTATGATGTGCTATATTAGATTGAATAAATCTTGGATCAAAGCATTGTATTGCTCTAAATAATGATAAAGCTAGATGATGAGATAAGTGTTTTTCGCATTTTTCATATGCCAAAGAAAAAGCCTGAGAAAATATAATGGCAAATGATTCCTCATCACAATTTGCTTCAGCTAATATTTGATCTAATTCATTTGAAATTGGAGGAGTGCTTCTTCCTGATAAAAGAAAAGCTTGAAGGCTAACTATTCTTGAATAAACAAATGGAGCTATTGCTTTGTTTCGTATTTTAAAGAATTCCAAATCATTAACCAATCTAATTAAATTCAATAAATGATTAGTAACATTATCAATTGTATAATTACTTTGATAATTTTCTCTTACCTGCCACAATTATATGTAATAAAACAAATAAAAATTCTAACATATAAAATATGATTTTGGTGTTGACAAAAAGTATTAAGGTATTGAATAGCTTTTGAATCATGATTAATAGAATATTCTGCATTAATAAATGTAATAACATGAGGATATAAAGGTTTAATCCAATGTAAACATGAGAACCATGAATTTTATTGTGTTTTTACTGGTAATAGTGCTAAAGTAGGAGATTCAATATTATTTCGTGATAAATGTTCCTTCCAACGAATTTTTCTTTGTGAATTATAAACAAATATTGTTTTAAAATTCGCAACCAATCTATCAACTAATTCAAATTTTTTAAAATCAACCCATGTTTCCCCAATCAAATTAAGAATATGTGCTAAGCAGCAATTATGTTTCATTCTTGGTAAAAAAGGAGATAAATGTGAATATGCCAATTTCATATAAGAAGCATTATCAGATATAAAAAAAATAATATTTTTGTAAGGAATTTTGTAAAAATGAAGTGTATCCATGACAAATTGGGAAATAGATGAAGCATTTACAATAGATAAAAATTCAGTCCTAGCCAATTTAGTTTGATTATCAAAACTAAATAAAAGATTAACAGCATGACGACCACAACGATCTGTTGTTTCATCAATTGTTATACAAATAATCTTATCAATAATACTATTCTTTAAGTTCTGAAGTTCTATTTCATATGATAATGGAAGATATTTCTCACGAAGCTGATTTGCTCCAGTAATTAACCCTCCTAAAAATATAATTAATTCATTAATTAATTATTAAATTAAAATATTACATAAATTAAAAAATTACATACCATTTTTACAATATTTCATCAAAAATGGTTTGAGTTTTTCAATCTTTTCTAATGGAATATCTGTAAAAGTGAATGCTTCAACAACTTCAATATTAATTTTTTCTCTTTCATTCAAAGTATTTCCAGTTAATGAAGGTATGGTTCTTTGAATTAAATGATTAGAATTATTTGCATTTTTTTTATTATTTTCATGTTTTAAAGTTTGAAGATGTTTATCGATAATGGATTTTATTTTATGGTCAACTTTTATATTACAAAATCGACACCACAATACACTGCCTTGAAGAATATAATTTTCTCGATATATGGAACTTTGAGATAAACGTACATGAGTGCTAACCATCTTTGTAAAAAGTTGATTATATTGTACGAAAAAAAAATAGATCGATTTATAAGATCTACAGCCAATCAAATCTAATTTACTGCGGAAAGTGTGAAAAATGTGAAATTTTGCCAAAAAATGCGGTCACACCAAAAATGTGAAAAAATAGCAAAAATGCGAAAAAAGTGTGATCACTCCATCCTGGACACCCTAGCACAACAGTCTATTCTTTCTGGGTTAATATCATCATGTTTTCCAGATAAGGATGGTCATCGGTCCTACTGGTCCTACTCGGTCCTACTCGGTCCTAGACCGGTCAGTCCTAGGACTTGTAGGATCAGACTGCGTTCTTGCATTTTTTTGTGGTTCAGTAGGACCAGTTCTGAAGACCGACCAGTCCTCATATCAATCTTCAAATAATAAATGATTTTTATATTGAATAAATCTATTAATCTGATGAAGGTCTTTATAAAATAATATAAAGACTGACCAATTCTAAACCAATAAATAATGACAATCACTTCTTCCCACTTGTAGAGTTGCCTGTCAAAATGCTGAAATTCCAAAACTTCAAAAAAAGTGTTTAAATGGAATATCTTATCAGCCAGTGATCATAAAATGATAAAACCACTATCATTTGAATCATCTCAATGAGATGCGTCGAATGGTAGCTAAATCATATTTTCAGGATCAATAGATAGCCAGCAATTATTGAATTTGTTATCAAATAGTTTTGCTGACGTGATTTTGATACCATTTGACACGTCTTATTGAGACGATTCAAATGGTAGTAGTTTCACATTTTTATAATCACTGGATGACGAGATATCATGATTATTATCACTAATACAATAATAGTAAGTGCATGACACATGTGATGATCATTTGTAAAAAAAAAAATTTGTATATTTAAAAACATCCCGATTAGTGTTCATATTTATAAAACAAGGCTATTCCTAATAAAGTTAAGGAAAAAAATTTTTTTATTTGTAAAAAAAAAGAAAAAAGACTGATCAGTTTTAAAAAGACTGCAGTCCTTAAAAAGACTGACAGTCTTATTATAATACAGGACTGAAAGACCATGGTTCTACACTAAGACAGACCAGTCTGTCTTTTTATGGTGTAGAACCATAGGACCGTGGCACTATATTTCATTTTTAGAGGCATATGAAAAGGTAACAACAGAGGAATATTGTCCTTTTTTACAAAATAGGAAACCTAGAAATAAATCAAAAGATGTAGAAAAAAAAGGAGGAAATGGCATGGACTTTAGTCCAACTGTTCAATATGGAAAAAATGTAAGAACAATTGTAAAATGTGTAGAGTGTAACAAACCTCGTGTATTATATGCTCGTCATAAAATATCAGAGGAAGAATTTCGCCTACTTCAATCTTTTCTGGAATCAATAGAATATACCTGTGGTGTTACATTTAAAGGCCTTTCTGAGTTGAGTTCTTCTAAAAGTAGGAAAGAAAGTGATATAGACGTTAATAATGATGAATAATAATAGAGATATAGACGTTAATGAAGATAGTGAAAAAGAAAATAACAATAAAGATGATCCTATAGCTGAATTATTCAAAATAGTACAAATCAACAAAAAACATACTTGTACTTCAGTTATTGAGAAACCATACTTTGTAGCCAGAATTTTTCCTCAAATTTGTAACATATGTGGTATATCAGAGGATTTAATACAGGTAGAAAATGAGTTACCATATTGCAAAAAATGTCATGTCTCAACTGGAGAAAAAAGAAAAATAGGAAAAAGTATTTCAGATATTGAGAAGGTATTCTTTGAGTTATCAAGTGAAAAGGAGAGAACACGTTTTCCGTTTTGCATCATGAATTTGGTTAATTATGTACATGCATGTATGCGTGTATCTTACTGGTACCTTTATGTAAATTCTATAATGTATTGAGCAATACAAAACGTGCTTTTGATAAATGGTATAGTCATAATGGACTTTTGGCCAAAAACACCCTTTTTGCTGAAACTCAAAAAATCATTTTTTGTAAATATCTCAGCATCCAGTAATTCAATTTTAATGAACTTTTTTTTATTTTGTAGCCCTCATTTAGCTCTATAATTTAAAAAATGATCATCAAATTTGGACCACTAGATGCCGAGATATTTACAAAAAACGATTTTTTGAGCCCCTGAAAAATGGGCCAATCTGCCGAAAGTATGACTTGAGATCCCGATCTGCCAACTCTTTCTTGTAGATCCTTGGTCAAAAATTTCGCAAAAGAAATTTTTATCTCTTCATACTAACACAACCTTATATTCTACTACCATAACTAATAAAAGTGCTAATAAAGCTAGCAGCAACCCGAAAGGGGCCCTGCTAAGCGCAAAGACAAATGAAACAATAATAATAAAGACTAAGGTTGCTGGAGAAACTAGGGGGTTTTGGCAAGTTGGCGAAATGCTGAAATAGCGAAACTTTGCCAAAACTATATGAAAGTCTTATTAAAAAGTTGGCGAAACTCTGGAGAAAGACTATTGTTGGGAGTAATGTTGAGTAACGAAGTCAATTAAAGGCTATAGGAGATAAATCACGAGAAGCAGCAACTGCATTGGTGGCTAAAACATATTTGTTATGGTTGGCTGAAGTATTGTTTAAACAGTAAAATTCTTCAGTAATAGACAGCATATGTTCCATTCCATCTTTGGAAGAAGAGATTAAAGTAGAATCATCCATAAACACCAAATTATTAATTTCTAAAACATCAAGAGAACAAGAATCTGATGAAGTAGTATAGGAAGTCATTGGAGAAACCAAACAATAAGGGTCTTTCTTCTCTTGTTTGAGAACTGTGAGTAGAGGGTCTAAATAAATAACCCACAAGAGTGGAGAAATAACTTCACCTTGGTCTATTCCTATTCTAACTCTATATGGCGGAGTTGGGCCATGCGCAGTTATAACACGGTTAGAACGTGACATAAATAAAGAAAGTAAGAATTGAATAGCATTTTGTGGCAGGCATAAGTGTTGGAGAGCAAATCGCAACATGGATAGATCTACAGAATCGAATGCTTTTGAGATGTCTTGAGAAAGGATCCATAAAGGTTGTTTAGTGACTACTGAGTCATGGATGATGGATTCCAGAGTAATAATAGGATTATGGCAGGAACCTCCAGGTAAACCTGCGAAATTACCACCTTGGAGAACATAATGGGAGGCAAGTAGAGGAGCAAAATGATTGTAAAAAAGCTTAACCAAGGCCTTACGAATCACCTCCAATAAAGTAATAGGACGTGTATTTTTAAGTTGGCATTTCCATTCATGCGGTTTGGGAATAGGAAAGACAGTAGCTTGTCTCCATAAATCAGGAATATTTGCGTCTGATAAACAGGCGCAAATTAAGTTAAAAAGTAGAGCAGAAGCAGAAGGTCCTAGGTGTTTCAACATCTCATATGAGATCATAGAAGGTCCTGAGGCTTTATTGTTAGTCATGGAGGAAATCGTTTAAGACCATTTGTCAAGGGTAGGAAATTCCATAAGTGAATCGAAAATAGCTGGAGAGACATTGGCAAGTGGCGCATAAGCATTGAACCATCGTTCAGGCAATCCTGTATGGAAGAAGGAGGAGTGGAGGTGATTGGAACAAAATTTTGAAAGTGTTCAATAACTTCTTGATCAATGGCATCAGGAGATGTCAATAAAATAGGGTGCAATGGATGGTCTACAAAAACTCGATTAAGGATGATTCGTCGTCTAGTTCGTGATAAAGCAGATTCAATAAAAGTGGAAATATCATGAGTGAAATTATCATTCTGAGCATCAATTTTAGCTTGAATAGAGGAGGCTTGGAATTCTTTTCTTTAAGCAAGAGTTAACTTCTAACATTTGAAGTAAATTAGCAAAATCATCAATTCTTTCATCTCGAAGAAAAGGAGGAAGGATAATAGGTGTAACAAAGGTTTGTTTATAAAGGGATAAGAGATTATTAAGACGTATATAATATGAAGACCACTTGGTTTCATGATGTATAGAATATAATGTAGGGGTCTTGTAAAGGGAACGGATAGTCTTAGCCACTTTAGACAAAAATCTGTAAGACTGGCATAAACTTTCCAAGTCTTCAGGCTTCTTCGGAGTATAAGTATTGCCTACAGTAACTGAAGGTAATGTGGAATTAGCAGCTTTGATAATCTTAGAATGAAGATATTCACACTTCTGATTAAGGGGCCAAGCATCAAAACCATGTGGATCGACTGGACATAAAATTGTTCAACTCAACAGCAAAAGCAGACCATTGATCAGTAGAGATAGAATCATATTTGAAAATGCGTCGAGTATTACGACCAAGCTGACGAGCACGTGCAGATTTAATAGCATCTGATAATAAGGAAGCGTTAAAATAGGTGATGTGGTCAGAAATATGCATATCATGACATGAGTAGAGATGTGCCGTGTTATATAACAAAATGTTATATAACATATATAACATGTTATATAACATATATAACGGTTATATAACGGTTATATAACCAAGAGGTATTTTAAGGTATATAATTATTTTGTATAATATCTTACTATCTAATAATTATAAAAAAATAAAATATATATTATTAGATTTGTCTTATTAAGTTGAATCAAATATCGAAAATTTTATGCCTCTAATATCAATATAAAATAAGTTATTATAATTTAAAAATTTTAAAACATTTAAAGATATCTTAAAATTTATTAGTACTAGAAGTATAAAATAATTACATTTAATGAATATTTGTGAATTAAATCTAATGTAATGTGTTTTAGATTTTTATAATTATTAGATGTCAAAATATATATCAAATAAACTTATTATTTAAAAAAATTGTTTTTTGCAATTATCTTGTTATTTACTAATCCTATTTCAATGACCTTTTTTTTGTTTTGAAGGGGGCATTAAGAGCTATAAAATAAAAAAAAGATTTTTAAAATCTGATCACTAAATCATAAGATAATGTCTTAAATTGATTTTTTTAATATTAACTTTCATTTTATATAATAATTTAACGCTAATATCTCGTGATCTACAAATCCTATTTCAATGATCTTTTTTTTACCTTGAAGAGTGCATTGAGAGCTATAAAATAAAAAAAAGATCTTTAAAATCTGATCATTGGATCACAAGATAATATCTTAAATTGATTTTTTTTTATTAATTTTTATTTTATATAATAAATTAATGCTGATCTTAAATGTATCACCATTTAAATTTGGAAATTGATTATCAAATGCTTTAACTTAATATAAAATTAAACTTTTACACAAATTTTCCATATATATATATGTGCATTTTTTTTTACCCACGGCTTGTAAAAAAAATTTTTTTTATTTTTTTTTTAATTTTTTTAATTTTTTTATAAAATTTTTATTATGACACGTACTCTTGACCCTGTTTGGGATTATTTTAAAAAATCAACTGAAAGAAAAACAGATCAAGCTGGAACAAAGCAGCATTATACAGCAACATGTAATTTTTGTGATACTATAATGACTGGACAACCTAAAAGAATGAAAATTCATTTAAATAAAAATTGTCTAAATGTACCACTTGAAGTTAAAAATCAATATAAAAATAAAGACAAAGAACAAGAATCTTCTGATGTTGATAATGATAATACTGAAGATAATGTTAGTAATGAAAAAGAAGAAATTGATACTGCAATTGCACGTGCATTTTACGCTAGTGGAATTCCATTAGCAACTATTGAAAATCCTTTTATTATTCAAGCGTTACATAAAATTAATCCAGAATATCATCCTCCTTCACGAAAATCATTGTCAACAACTTTACTTGAGAAAGAATATAAACAAGTTTCTGCTGATATGAAAAAACAAATAAAAAATTCTAATTATATTTGTCTTACAAGCGATGGTTGGACAAATATACATCAACAACCTATAATTAATTTTATGATTACTACACCACAACCAATTTTCTGGAAAGCATTAGAATCTAAAGAAAATTCACATACTGGCGAATATATTGCTGAGCAGTTTGATATTGTTATTAAAGAAATTGGTATATCAAAAATTGCAGCAGTAATTACCGATAATGCAAGTAATATGAAAAAAGCACATAGTATTCTTCAAAAAGATTATCCAAATATAATATTTTTAGGTAATAATTTTTATTTAATTTAATTTTTTAAAATTATTTCTAAAATTTTTTAATTTTTTTTTAAGGTTGTTTTGCACATAATATCAATCTTCTTATTAAATCCGTTATTGAATTGACTTTAATTAAAGAAATTATTACACCAGTACAGGAAATTATCAAGTTTTTTAAAAGGCACCATATTGAAAATGCTTGTTTAGAACGATTGCAAATTGAAAAAATAGGAAAAACAATTAAATTTAATTTGCCAGTAATTACAAGATGGGGTTCACATCACATTTGTTTACAATCTTTTCTTGCTAGTAAAAAAGCATTACAGGTAAAATCTATATATTATTTTTGAAAAATTTGAAAGTTTAAAAATTATTTATTTATTATATATTTATATTATAGAATGTTGTTTTTGAAGAATGTGTTAGAAAATCAATACCATCATCACTTAATTCCAAACTTATAGATACTGAGGGATTTTGGGTTGATATTGAAGAAATATGTCAATTATTAGAGCCATTTACAAAAATTATACGAGAATTTGAAAGTAATCAACCTAATTTATCATTAGTTTATAATAGGTTTGTAATTTTACTAAAATTTTTTTATTTTTAATTTAATATATATATAATAATAAGTAATATTTTTTTATTATAGATTTACAAAATTAAAAAATGAAATTAAACAGTTAACTAATACTTCTTTAAAAGATATTATTCTTGATAAATGTACACTACGCTGGGAAAAAATGTATCATCCAGCAATTGTTATTGCTTATTATTTAGATCCAAGATATCATGGTCAAAATTTAACAGATGAATATCCTTTTTCAATGATTGCAGAAGAAACATCAAAATTTGTAAATCAGGATTTAAGTGGTCAATTAGTAAAAGAATTATTATGGTATAATAATAAAACAGGACCATTTAATTCTTCAATATTTTGGAAATTAGAAGCAATGAATGATCCAATTGATTGGTGGAATGG